GCAGATGATTGCAATGCAAACTGGAAAGAAACTTCGTAAGTTACCAGATGATGTCAGCAAGTTGACTCACAAGCAAACCAAGGATGAATTAAATTACTATGCTAACGCTCACTTTGAGGGAGTTAAGGCTGTCTTACTGGAAAAAGATCCCGAATTTTTGATTAAGTAGATAGTAGATTAGTTTTTCAGGGATCGTTATAGCATTCTCCGAAAGGTAGTGATTAAGAAGAAAAAAGTTGAATAGGAGGAGTCACTTATTTTTCCTTATTATGGACACACGTGAGCCCGGCCGGGTGAAAATCACCTCACTCGAGCAAGGTGAGACGCGGTAGGGAGAGAGAATATTTTTCTCCTTCTCTGCAGCTTATTTTGCCGTAAAGTAAATTGTCTGAGGATAAATAAGCGCATGAAAATTATGCTTTGGCATACAAAACGTGGACTCGCATTGAGTCCAGCTGAATATTTATAAAGAGATGCTGTCAGTGTGGACACAAAGCTGCTTGTCGAGGTCTTTTGGAACAAAACAATGTCATTATGGTATTTGCTAACGTAAGGGTTTAAGGTTGCTGGTACAAGCGTTAGCTATTAGTGCTTGCTTATGTATTATCACGTTTCACCCTATGTTAAATAAACGGAGATTTACTTGAAATCAAGAATCCTCAAATCTCGACTTCAGAAAATCATTCGAGGGAAACAAAGTTATCTTGTCAGCTTGTTTCCTCAGGGATCACTCATTAAGTCATTTCTTACATAGCCCCCATAGCAAATCTTCTCGCTTGTACATATTTATGAAAGACTTTCAATCGAGCGGTCAGTAATCGCGAATAAAGGTGGGTTTCCACTGTCGCGTAATTCTTTCGTGCGTAAATAAAGTAGAGGTAATGTATGAAAGGCCGCGTTTAAAGGTAAAAGTTGAACCTCGGGTATCTTACGTGCGTACGCACAAACAAAATTACGCGACAGTGGAAATCCACCTTTAGGATGAATATCCACAGTCGCGTAATTTCCATATGCGTACGGGCGTAAAAATTATGTGCATAAAAAACAAATGAGGCAATGTATGAAAGGTTGCGCGCAAACGTAAAAGATGAAACTCGCTCAATTTTTACGTTTACGCGCGACACTTCATAAATTGCCCCTCTTTCAATTACGAGCATAAAATCTACGTGCGTACGCACGTTAAAATTTCGCTACAGTGGAAATCCACCTTACCTCTGCAGTTCTGTCTTCTAAAGTTGATTGGGGAAGATCCGCGGGGTGGGGTATTTGCCATTCTATTTTCGTCCCCACCGCATGCAGCCTCGCCTCCCACCAATGTGGCCCGGGGTTGTATTTAAGAGTTCATACAATGTTTGCCGGCTATGAGTCCTTCCTCGTATGCAGGCGCATCGTGGGACTTTCAACGGAAGTCGCAGCAAGATGGGTCAAGGGAAGGGGGTTTACGTTTTTGAATCTTTCCCATGACCCCATGCCCCGCTTAAAGCGGAAGGGTTTAACACAGCGTAGCAATACAAAATTGATAGTCATGTTTTATTTCTTGTCTCATAATCAGTTCATTAAATTTATAATTATATTACTTCAATTTCAGGAAACATGTCGCTGACGTTATTCCCTGTGTTGGAAACGCAAAACGGCAGGCGGCAACGACTTTAATAATTCACGCTTTCCATAACGCAGAAATTAAATCACGATCTTAATCCGCCGTACGGAAAAAGATGGCGGCTGTACATTTTACCACAATTCCTTTCGAACCTAACACGGCCAATTACACATACAGTCATATTTTGGGGGGACGAAATTCGTCCCTGTAATAGCAAAATTGCCTATCCTAGGTTTGAACTTTATAAAACATTTGTGTGTGTTTTTATGAGCAATTTTATGGTTCTCATGCGCTAAGAACTGTGGGTAAATGTACCAGTCACCATCTTTTTAGGTACGGTGGATTGCTGACATGTAGTAAAAAGTTACACGCCCAGACACTGCAGCCGGACAGTATGGCAGGGTACTTCGATCAAAAGTGATCCTGCAATTACCCCGGCAGTCGTATTAGCATAATAAAGCGATGGTCTATAATAATTTTTTGGCTTTCGTAAGCTAGCCTTTGTGCACTAAATTACACGCGTGGGTCACAGTTCATGACTATGCTATGGACCGTCCACAGCCTTTCTTTCTTCTCATGGCAGTCTGGATGGACCCGACAATTATCAACAGAAAGATGCGCGAACTATGAGGGAGATACGCGTCCAGCTCGCCCGTCCAACGAGAAAACAGAGAGCTTAGCAACAACGATGGCCACGGCAACGGCGACAGCTACGAAAACGTCACCTAAAAAGTGGATTCGCGCTGGTAACTATTGCTATAATTCTACCTCTTTCAAATGTGGACGATTTCTTGTGGCCCTGGATAGGGCTATCCACCGGATAATTCACTATCCAGCGGATAAGTATGAGGAGAAACAATTGCGTTATCCGCTGCATTGAAATTAATCCAGAGGATAGCGTTATCCACCCTTTTAACAACTGGAGCCTGGAGTATAATTCTTAAGGATTGTATCAAATTTCAGAAAAAAGAAACATTAATCGTGTTCTGCTTACGACATATCTAAAATGTGAAATTAGGAAGTTTCAGCTCGTAGTCGTGTAGTGATGGCAAAAAAGGCACCAGAAGAGGTGATGCACATGCCAGACGTACAGAGTTGTTGCTTTGCTTTGTGGACGTTCTCGTGGCGGTCGCCGTCATCGTTGCTTAAGTGCCTTAATAGGAGGCTGTGAATAGTCTAAATAGGCTGGAAGAGTAGACACAGCGAACAATAGGGTGGGTGGAAACCACCGCCATGTACCACAGGCTACTAAGGACTACGGTAGCATAATGGCGGCGTAGTTACAGTCATTTACTATAAAAAAAGGTATTCAAAATGAGCCAGGAAACACGACTACAGCGTGTGATTTGTGTTGTGATCTCGGCCAAAGGCCAAGACGATGTGATATTCTAACTACTTTTTAGAGTCACGCTTATTTATGGTTCAGTTAAACGTGTCACCATTCCCCCGGGCAAACCCCGGGACAAGTCCTGCCCTTCTGGCCGGGGTGGGGAACTGTTTGAAGCCGTCCTGTCCAAGGGTAGGGGGTGCCGGAAATCAAAAATTACTTTTCTCTGATTTTGCGAAGTACGTGTTATTTCTCGCATAGTTTGCACGAAGCTTTGAAACTCAGTTCAAGGCTATGTATTTTCAAGGGAAAACCCAGGAATTTGTTGTAGAGTGGTTGAAGAGGAATAACCTATCAAAGCGTATGATGCGTACTTAAATGTTTTTTTTTTTCAGTTGCAAAAGAAACAAAGAAATATTTCTTCTGTCTAGTTTAATAGTAAGACAACTTCAATAGACTATATATAGAAACGGATACAAGGCTTTTAATATAATATTTAGATAGATAAACATAGATTTGATCTATCAAATGTATTGTTCGCGTTTAAACTGCATACATGTATTATTCTTCTCTCAATAACTCTTACTATAAAACGTTCATATTAGTTCAGAAAACGTCTCGTTTTGCAGGGGCTCGGGGATGGGGAATTGTCTCCTTCTGTGTTTCCGGGGGTGGGGAATGGACCACCGGGAAAAAAATAAATTGCAAACGCCCGGGGAGGCATGGTAACAGGTCAAATTGAACCACGCATTACGGCAAAAGGCAAACGTGAATTTGTACCATGTAACCAAGTCACTTGTGCTTTACTGTTATCAATACTTCTGCCCCCAAATTAGCAGCTTCACGTTGTTTTTGTCTATAACAATTGTTTTGGACTGCTTTAAGCACCCCCTTTTTTAAGGAATTTTCTTGTTGAATCCGACGTTTGCCGTAAACTTCACTCTAAATCCCTCTATTGATGGAAAAAAAAAAACACGGTAACAGTGAAATCAAACTTACAGGAAACTAACAGTACATTATAATATAAGATATGAACCAGAACTACAGTTTCAAGGGAGGATGTGACCCGTTTATCTCCCTATCAATCCCACAATTCTTATGAGACTTGTCAGCTCAGTGCATCTACTTCTCAAGGAAATACCTCGGCAGCCCAAAGACCTATACAAATAAAAAAGGCAAGAAAAAAGAGAAGATAAGCAAAATTTCCTTAAAACTTATAAATTCTAGAGAGACATAAATCTCTTTTCTAAAAGGAGAATCTCTTCTTGACTTATGTTTCAAGATGATCCTCCTTACTGTCAACATACAACATCACCATCAGGGTGAATTTTACTAAATTAGATCATGTTAAATCCGTGCAAGCTCTAGACCATTCTCGGAGACCCAGCGGCAGGCTTTCGTCGCGCCTTTTCTCCCGACCCGACTGACTGCCCCTGGGTCTCCGAGGATTGCTCTGGATTGTATTACTTAAAGGGTAAGTTTTAATAATTATCAATGGGATATGCCATCGATAACAGTTATGGAAGTTACCAGCCTCGTGCAACTCGATTTATGATACGAGTACAAATTAAGTCTCGTTAAATTATTTCACAACAGTTTAATAACGTTGATTTCCTATGTAAGCTGTGTGAAAAGACTCCGTTTAACGTCTGAGGACAAAATAAGCCCGTTGTCCCGTGACTTTCTACATATTATTCGGAAAACTCAGTGTTATAAAGGCGCTGTATTGTGGGATTTTGTCTCAGGTCATTTCAGTGACTCCTATAATTTTCATCAATTTTCCAAAAAAGTGAAAGTAGATTACCGACTTACAGAACTCAATTTTAAGAGTTTATCTGTTCGGTCAGTGCTAAGAAGATATCTGATTTTACCTTTTAATTTGAATTTCTAATTTCATGCGCGTTTTTTGTGTTAACGACCCCTTCCATTTATTCCATTTAAAGCTGGATTCATTTATTTGGTTATTTATTTATTTATTCATTCATTTGCCACACAAAAGGAAAAAATACAGAAAGAAAAGTGGCGGGGAGAACTTGTGCAAACTTAGGCCGTCTTCAACACTTCAGTTTAACGTGTCATAACTACTTATTTAAAAGAGGAAGGGATCTAGAGTTGATGACTTCGTTGTCAAGCGAGTTAAAAAAAAAAAAAATAACACTTCAGTTTAACGTGTCATAACTACTTATTTAAAAGAGGAAGGGATCTAGAGTTGATGACTTCGTTGTCAAGCGAGTTAAAAAAAAAAAAACTTTGGTCCTTGAAAAAAAAAACCCATCTTTTTCTTGCTCTTAATAGGCCATTTGCACGATGGCGTCATTCTACTACCACGACAAGAATCCTTTTCGTTTTTCTTTTTATATTTAAATCTTGGTAATCCCAGCGAGATTTAAATGACAAAAGCCGTAATTTGCATCAGAAAGGTAAACCCTGATGGATTCTAGTCGTAGTAGTAGTAAATGATGTCATCGTGCAATTGGCCTATTGTTATAGATTTGTACACGACCCCTAAAGTATGTTAAGTGCTTTAATTATTGATCGTGTTACTACATAGAGGGTCTAGTAATACAACAACCAAATAAACAGCCTCGTCCCCAGAGCTTTTCCGTTTCATCGTACCTTCAAGAAATTTTCAAGTAAATAGTAGTTTAACAGGAAGAATCAATAAATACTACAACTATACCTTACTTTATCCATTCTTAACAAGAGAAAGTGAAGGATGTATAACTCATGCAGTTTAACTTGTGGTCGCGTGTGGAGCGGTATGGTTTGCCGGTTTATTTTAAATGGAAAGGACGCCTTAGGATTCTGTTATCGAAAAGGTCTTTGCAACCTAATTTTTGGACAACAACAATCTCTCGTTTACTTTAATTTTTGAGATTTTTAAACTATTTCACTTCCTAGCAACACACGTTTTAATGAGTAATTTTTAAAATTCCGGTTTTTATGCGAGAATTTCCGCCGTATTTTTTTCATTTTAAGTATAGTAGTTTTTATTACACATTTTATCACACACTTTTACTTGTGAACTTACTTGGTATTTCAGAACTTTTGTACGGTTATTATTATTATTATTATTATTATCATTATCATTATCATTATCATTATCATTATCATCATTATTATTATTATTATAGTGTAAATATTTTAGTTTCTGAATTTCAATTCGAGAACCATAAGTTTGTTAGCTTGTTTCATCTATAATGTATTACCCTCTTTAAATAAAAAAATGTTACCTAATGACTTACTTCAGACTTACTTAAGGAAAAGCCAAGGGACGAGGTTGTTAAATAATCAACGACGACAATTAAAACAGGGCACCTTTCGAATTATCGCCACCGGTATTGAAAGGAGAAGAGGAGGCACGTCTGAAAGTGATTTTATCGAATTTTCCTTCGAGCTCATAAGCCAACGGATCCAGGCAAAACGCTTCTCTTCATACGGAGGATAACGTAAGCTGAAAATATAGAAAGAAATCACCTTAGCCTTCGGGAAAGTGAGCAGGTTTGTCCCTAGAGTATTAAAGTGTTCCATGGGTGAATCGACAACCTTTGGTAAAACCAGTGTTGGACGTTAGGACACTTTGAATATCTACATGTAAGGCGTTATCTCCAGGCATTCTCGACCACAGAGGTCTAACAAAGAAGGATTTGAGAACGAAATAAAGCGCCCGAGCCTGTTTATCGATTTCTAGGGCTCAAGGAAGCCCCCCCCATCCCCACATCTAAGCACCTGGATGACCGCCCCCTTATCTTAGGGTCTGGATCCGGCACTGAGACCAACCAAGTTCGGTTGTGGCCTTTCTACTTATATAACATCAGCGTGATTCTTGGATTCCTGTCCACGGACATTTTTTACATTTTGTCAAGACGCAGTATCAGCCTTGCTCTTTGCTGGTTGGCGCATAGAATGAAAGAAGCTATTTACCTATTAATAGACTCCAACATCTGTTTCTTCAAAACACAACCTTTCTTGTGTGAGAATGCATCAAACGAATATTTGCCATGATATGCACCCATTCCACTTCCGCCAACACCACCAAACGGCAGAGTGTGAACTACAATGAAATACCGTAAGGAATAAACTGATTCGCCTCTAGACATCTTATTTGCAATGGTAATATGACTATTCCCCGAACTGAAATCCATTCTGCCTTATTACGGAGCTTAAGCAATGACGACGGTGGTGAAAATGAACTCACACTGTTTCAAAATTCACTGCTGATATTCCACGTCGTTTAATTTTTCAAATGTTGGTGAATTTTTCTGGGATTGAATTCTAAAGGAAGGTATCTGGGTTTAATAAGAGGATAAGAAAACCGTTGTCTTGTGTTCATGTCCTCGACAAAACGTGAAATTAGGCAGTTTCACACCGTGGACGTACAACTGCGGCAGAGGAATGTATACATATAAAATAGAATGATGTACGTGCTTATCAAGGCCTTATGCATTTTTGTCGTCCTCGTTCGTTGTCGGCTTTGCTTAAGCTTCCCATGACCAATTAATTGTGTAAAAACAAATTGCGAGTATCTAAGGATTGGAATATTTATTAAAGTACAAAGTTCTTATTGCATCAGCTTGTACTGATGAATTTTGAAACAGCGAGAATTCGATCTTAAAGAGACGCTTTAGCAGCCGCCGTCATTGTAGTTGCTTAATTGAGTAGCAGACGATAAGTAAAGGGAAAACTATAAGGGAGCTTACTATAGTTACACAAACCATCCGGGTGGTAATCTTGTGCATAAACAGAGAACAAGAAAATTTGACCTGGTGAAAGAACTACCCGCTACAAAGTACACGTATATCCAAATCTACTGACACAAACCACAGAACATGTTTTCTGAAACTTCCCAAACAGAAAAAAAATGGAATTTCCGGTCACGTAGTACTGATTGAAGTTTGCCGTTTTCCTTGGGCGTGATTCAAAATCTCTCAATAGACCATTTTACAGTTATGGACTTAGTACCCTAGCCTTCGCGTGAACGTGAGGCTGAGGTTGACCTTGTTTTGATACAAACCTCCTTTGTTTTGTTATGGAAATTGGAAAATACTAGTTAGCATAAAAACAACTTCATTTGCATAATAAAGCAGGAAGGTTTGTATCAAAACAAAGTCGCCTCCAGCCTCGCCTCCATCCATAACTGTAAAATGGTCTATTTAACAACAACGTACCTCCAGCATGTACAACCGTGTCATTTGCCAGGAATCCCCCTGAAGACGTGTTCTTCAAGATACGATCAACTTTGGATTTGTCGTTAGAGAAGATGTACAGAGCTAGCGGTTTGTCCCTACAGCCCCGGAAAAATAATCATATTAAAATAAAATTAATAATAATAATAATAATGCTTAACGTATACTATGTTAAGGTCTCTCACTCTCATATACGTTTCATACCTGTCATTAATAAACTCTATGGCTTCGTCCACATTGTCGACGTTAACTATTGGCAACAGAGGACCAAATACCTGCAAAACAGATCACTCCATTCATTAGAACAATACAGAGTAAATCTTCTCAGTAAATGATTACTCAGGCCAACATATTGTCCATTTGTTAAGGCTACTGTTTCTCAGATAACTCGATCGCGAGTTGTTCAAGTGAAACTTAGTTTGAGTTGATTTGTTTTTTAGTTTGTGTTGATGTGCACAATGCAAGCATTAGGTCAAGCCATACAAGCAGTCATGGAGCTGATTATTAGTGTCCTCTGTTGGCAGAATGTTCAGCACAAGTCCCAGCCTCTACGTACGCACCTCGTATTAAGTTTCTCGACTTCTCGGTACTGCGTTTTGTTGCGGGTAGAGCTTACATAAATTTTCTGATTCACAAATAACACGGACTACAGGTTGTTTCTTTTTCTTTGTTTTGTTCGAAAAAGCTAAGAACGTAGAAACAAAGTCTATCTCGTAATCTAATCAGTCATATCAGCACATGCGCTGCATTGGTACAGGAAAAGTGCGGCTCTTGTCGACATAATATTATATCTTTTGCTTTACATTTGGCGTTTATTCATAAATACGGCATGCTTAAATCGACCCCATCGAATGTGTCCTATTGCCGATGCGACATTGTTCCCAGAAGTGCATACCCTGAATGGCAAGAATGTACAAGACTACCCTACAACTACCCTCCGTCGGTGGGGATGTTTCGCGGGCAGCTGTATTGGCTAGGTCAAGCTGTGTTTACACTAAAAACGTGTAGTGGCCTTGAAAACAATGTCCGTACCTCGTTTTCCATGAGTGGGTCAGTGGGTTTGACTCCCGTGATTACTGTCGGTGCGATGTAGTTTTCACTCTCATCTGTCTCGCCTCCAATTGCACAAGTCCCAGAGGACATTAAACTTTTTAAGCGGCTGAAATGAGGAAAGAAATAAAATGCGATGAAAAAATGTCCCTAGGCTCCGTGGCGAGTCCTTAGCATTATACTTATATTAATTTTGGCGAGTAAAAAAAGCGCGATCGTTTACTGTAACAAAGCGATTTTACTGAAATGTTTAGACGTGTGCAATTTTCTTGTTTAGATCTGTAGTTTGTCATGTAACTTCTTTTCAAAGGAGTTGGCATGGTGTCACGCAGAGACCGTGGGTTGGATTAGGGTTGGAATGCCATTGAAGCCCCGTTTTTTCCGGGTTAAATTGCTTAAATTGCTATTACAACATAGAGGATCATGTCTTCATTTAAAAATCTGCTTTTCCGAGGCTCACATCGGTTCACATAGTCTTCATTTCAAGGTGTTATTTGTTGCAACAGTGATTTGGAGGCAAGTTAGCTTTCAAATATTCCAAATTTTAAGACTACACCGTAAAAGAGGTGAACTTACTTGAAATGCCTGTTGTTCACAATCCTTGCATAGTCTGGTGACTCCTTGGGGTCCTTTGCAATGAAAAAGAATAGCAACACATTTAAAATACAGGCCAATATTTTTGCATAGATAGCAGTTTTTACAGCGTCCAAAGTAATTCCACGATTGCGTTTTCGATTGCAACGTCTTGTGATTGGCTGAAACATTTCGCGCCTCTATTTCTCCAATTGGAAGAAAAAAACATAACAAATCACGACTCGTTGCTGGCAGCTTTTTCAGTTTCCCGCGCTTAACGTCGGCTACACATATCTAACTTCTGATTGGTTCATTGGCACGTCTGTGTCCGTTTTGATTGGCCAGAGTTATTTCTTGCTCGGATTTTCGTTACAATATACGGTTTGATACAGTTGCCTTGAGTCCGAGGATGAAAAAGAACCTAGTCTAGATGTTTTATTTTAGTAAGAAAGATTCCGTAAAGCCTTTTACCATTTGCAAGGAAAAACTCGTCATAATGAAACGATCTTAGTGTAGTCTGTTCACAGACCCTCTACTTTCTCTTTAGAGATCGTCGAGCGCGCGTTTTTTGTTTTTTGTTTTTCAGGCGCCCCCAGCCACGGACCCGGTAGTCCAATGGTCGGTATCGCCGAGCGCACGTAGGAAAATAAAAACCGCGGGTGGTTTATTTAACAACGTCTGTGTACAGGCTAGTCCCAGTGGTACAAATAAATTCCACTCGCACCAGAATAAACCGTTGTACCATTTGAGTTTTCATCTGGGAATGAAAAGAAATAATGAATACAGAATGACGGAAATTTTCGAGCTGAAATAAGGGAAAAATGCCCTTTAGTGGGATGAAATGGAAAAAAAGAATTGTAATAAAAGAATATTGAAAAAAGGAATAGGCCTGAAGATTTCCATCTTTTCTGGACACGTTTCCTCGTAATGAACTATAACCTTAAGATTTCAACAGAAAGCTCCGGTTTTCTCTGCATCTGAACGCTCTGTGACACCGGATTTTCAAACTTGACTTCGAGTTTTCTTCCACAGAGAAAAGACCTAAGCAACGCAAACTATGGAGCTGACAATCATTTACTTTGGAGTTAACTCAACGAAAACGACGACGCCGCAACGACGTCATAAAAGCAACAGGTTAAATGAACAATACAACTCCACACGTGAACCACAATCTTTGGTACACTTCTTTGTCGTCCAACTGACACCTGAAACTTTCTAATGTGACTTGAACATAGAAAGAAGAATTTTTTTCCTCTTTTAAAACTTGGCTGCTGTCCCTGACAATTTAACCATAAGGAAATTCGCCAACATTTGACAAATTTAACTCGATAGAGTCTGGTAACGCGATAAAGTTAAAAAAAGCGCGAATACATCGCCGATGTGGTTGCGTAAACTCTCTGATAACTGTCCTTGTAACCTACGAATGAATGACGGAATAACCCTCGCTCACCTCTCCATAAAAATCAAACAAAGTTTCTTTGAAGCGTTTGATGAGCTCCTCTTGGACATCGGGGTGACACAGAAGGTAGTCTGGGGCGACACATGTCTGAAATAAGAAAAGGAAAAAACCGGAAATGCTTATGAAGTACATTGTAAGGATAGTACTAGAAGAGAACTTTGCGGAATGATGTTAATAGTGAGTATTTAAAAATTACAGTATATTGTATACACGGACCTGTCCAGCATTTGCAAATTTTCCCCAAGAAACTCTTTTAGCGACTATCTCAAGATCGCAGTCCTTGTCAACGTAACACGGGCTGAAAAAAAGACGACAGGAGGTTCGTTATGATGAAATAGCGATACCGTATTTACTCGAATGAGTGCCGCAACGCTTTTAAAATTTTCACGCCTCAATGTGACGGTCTTCATTTGACGACGGCGTTTATTTGAAAGTTGTACGCGACATTTTTCGTATTAAACGACCAGAATTAATGCCTTTTTTACTTTGATTACATCAGGGCCGCGACAGTTATTCGGAAGTGGTGCTTCTTAATCGGTGGCGGCGCTTATTCGAGTAAATACGTTACTCGCATTGACGTCATCTATTGATATTTGCAAACCAGAAGCGTATTGGTTCTTGAACTGAACAAAAACTGACAAATCGGAATAACAAAAATGGCAAAAGATCAGTGACAATGAAAAAGATGGATCAAAGTTTCGTGGCTTCATAGCCGGTGACATCACTATTTAATCAACCAGTTCAGGGCTCAAAATAAAGGCCGGTCAAAGGACAATGTCCGGCCAGAATGGCAACTTTTATAGCCCAAAAATTCCCACACCGGTCATGTTGACCGGTCACTGCTAATTAGGGGCTTATTATGCAACAAAGACGACGGAAGCAGTGAAAACCTTGCTAAAAAAAGAATTTGCGTCCTTTCAAATTTTATCCCGTTTATTTGGACCCACTCAATTTCTCAAATGTAGACGATTTCACCTGGAGTTGAATTCTTCAGGATTTTTATCCAGGTTCAAAATAGAAAATTGAAAGTCGTCGTATGCTCACGTCTTCAGTTTTGAAACGTCGTTTTAGGAGGTCTCATGTCGTAGTCGTGCAGTGGACGTCAAGGAAATGTACTAAAAAGGAAACTAAACGAAACAATCTTTGACCTCAATCGTTTTGCTAAATACTATGGACTTTGGAGGAAACACTTAGGGAGTCACGGTTGAGCAACATGTTACTTTTGCAGTCAACACAGACATCTTCTTGCGGTAAATATCATCCTCGAGCCTCTGTTGTTATTTAGCGAAACAAGATGTCTATCTTGACCGCGGCCAAATCATTTTGTCCATTAAGTCACTTTTCAAACGATCAAGCGACGACTAGAACGAGTATAATGCTAAAATTTGGGTTTACAAGCCGTTATTAACTTTTTTTCGTGTAATACCATTTTTGACTGGTCAGAAACGAGACCTTACGGAGAAAAAATTCCTTTGGCGGGAACACTTTCCAAAAAGTATTTTGAGTGCTGCAGTTGATCAATAAATAGACTTGAAACTATCGAGTGTCGATACACAACTCACTATGGCCCCATCCACGTGAACCCCGCATTACTTAATTGAATTCGGAAATACCCGATTTCAATAGTCTCATACACGAATACGCAATTCCGTCGGACAAATAAAAACACTCTCTGGAGACCGGTTTCAAAACGATGCAGTTTCAGTGAGCAGATTCACTGTTTGCATGTGGACGGAAGGCCGATTCGTGTGAAAAATATGCGGAAACAAAGATTTCTAGCCTGACCACGGACGTTTATCTATGATTTTTTCGACAAATCGACAGCGCACGTACCCTGGGTTCCAGAGGATATTTTTTCTTATCGATACTGATGGTTCGCGGCGAGGCGCGGNGCAACATGTTACTTTTGCAGTCAACACAGACATCTTCTTGCGGTAAATATCATCCTCGAGCCTTTGTTGTTATTTAGCGAAACAAGATGTCTATCTTGACCGCGGCCAAATCATTTTGTCCATTAAGTCACTTTTCAAACGGTCAAGCGACGACTAGAACGAGTATAATGCTAAAATTTGGGTTTACAAGCCGTTATTAGCTTTTTTTCGTGCAATACCATTTTTGACTGGTCAGAAACGAGACCTGACCGAGCAGAAATTCCTTTGGCGGGAACACTTTCCCGAGTGTTGCAGTTGATCAATAAACAGACCTGAAACTATAGAGTGTCGATACACAACTCACTATGGCCCCATCCACGTGAACCCCGCATTACTTAATTGAATTCGGAAATACCCGATTTCAATAGTCTCATACACGAATACGCAATTCCGTCGGACAAATAAAAACACTCTCTGGAGACCGGTTTCAAAACGATGCAGTTTCAGTGAGCAGATTCACTGTTTGCATGTGGACGGAAGGCCGATTCGTGTGAAAAATATGCGGTCACAAAGATTTCTAGGCTGACCACGGACGTTTATCTAAGATTTTTTTGACAATTCGACAGCGCGCGTACCCTGGGTTCCAGAGGATATTTTTCTTATCGATACTGATGGTTCGCGGCGAGGCGCCGAGAGAAAGCGGCTCGGGAGCCTTATCAAGCTCGGTTTATTTCATCTTAGGTATTTTGAGAATGGGCCTCTGGAGCCAGGGTACAGCGCGCGCAGAGTGCGAGAAAAAAAGAAAGGAACCTTTTCCCACCCCCACCCCTCTTGCATTTGCGGTGAAAAAATCCCCCGCTGTTTTTATTATCATTCGCGCGCTCAATGATATCTAATGTGAAAATAGAGGGTCTGTGAATTAGGCTAAAAGATTTCCGGATTCGTTTTGATGAGGGGCGTGTCTCTAACAATGAGAGAAACCATCGCCCTCTCCTCGCACCTAACGATGAGCCCTTACAAGAGATATGTTGACGACAATTATGTCCAAACAACTAATGAAGCAACAGCAGACCACTTCCACCATGTAATAAACAAAGTACACCCTAATTTGAAATTTGAAATTGAAAAGCAGAAACAACACCGAGTGGCCTGTCATTGTCGATTTCACAGTCACCATATCCAAGGATGGCAACAGTTCTTTTGAATGCTACAAAAAGCCAGCCAAGGTACCTCTATTTGTCCACCATCGATCAGCTATTCCCACCAAATCCAAACTCAACTTCATTCGCAACGAACGAAAACGCATCGAAACAGATGCTCCCCACATTTAAACACATTCGATGACATTCTTGGCCTTAACGGTTATCCAGAGAACAGTACAGAGCAGACAAAACGCCCACAAAACCCCCAACGAAACCCTCAACCTGCCAACACAGAATGGTCATACCTTAAGATCCCGTACATTTCTACACGACTCAATCACAGGATCGCTAACATTTTTAGACAAGAAAACATCCCGGTACGCATTTCCCACAAATCCTACACTCTCAGACGAGCCACATCCCACACCTCCATGGAGCGCAAATGCACTAGAGACAAATGCCCTATCTCTAACACTGGGTTGTGTTAACAAAGAAATGCAGTGTACCAGCTCACGTGTAACAGCTGCGATAAGCAATACATAGATAGCACGACACGCTTCAACCACGACCGCGTTAAAGAACATTTCAATAATGAATGCTCCTATGTAAAAAAACATAACTATTTCTGCCAGAACAAAGACTATAAAGGCATTGAGGTCAAGATTATTACGAGCGAAAACGATCCCGCTAATCTACGCCTTTATGAAGAATTTTACATTAGAAAGTGCAAGCCTACACTCAATTCGCGAAGGAATGTAATGAATTCGCAGACCTTTTACTTTAGTATTCTAGAGACCATTTTTAAGCGCCTTTAGAGGTCCTTTGTCTAGAGACACTCCATCATTTGAGCGTTGTATTCCACTGACAGCGCGCGCGGAATATTTTCTCATCCCTGATGATGCCGTTAATCGGCGAAAGCTTGGATTTTGGATTTTACTTTTTTAAGCAGCAGTTTAAGGCCTCACTTGAACAGTTATATATTTTTTTATTATGCTGCTGAAGCCGGACAACATGAACAGATTAGTGAACACTAAGTACACAGATTGTTGAAATGACACTCGCTGCTTACAGCTGTCCCGTTTCGAACCACTCTCACCCAGACTGTCATATTCCCATTACTTATTACATTGTTCCCTTAAACCATTTAATTTCCAACAACAGAATTTATGATTATAGTGGGTAAGGATTTCATATCTCTATCAATTCTACCTTTTTCCTCCAAGCTCAAGTGTAACACGTGTTAGATTCTTTGATGCTGCTTCCATGACAATTTTACCCACAGCACTGCCACCTGTGTAAAATATCTTGTCAAATTTGCACTTGTTTAGTAAATACTTTGTTTCCTCCACTCCACCAGTGATAACTGCATAACAGTCCTGGAATGGAATTAAAATCCTGGATCATTACTGCACTATTATTTCAATCTACACATCACTTTGTCACCCCATCATCTATCACTCCATGTAAGGTAATCTGGATTCATTTTTCCTTCTGGAATCCGGAATCCTTGGAATCTGGGATCCAAGTTCTACTGACAAGCAATCCGGAATCCAGTACCTGGAATCCAGAATGCACAGCCTGAAATCCACAATCCAAAACTGTCTTGGATTACCCCACTTGGGGTGAACTTTGTTCTGTCAGCCTGTGCACAACCACTCTGTACAGCTGCACACTAACAAAAACATTTCCTATTTTATTTTCTGTTTTTATTGCCCTGTAGGAAACAGGGCACCTCGAATGGGTTAAAATATTTTTAACCTCGCCCTTTCTCTAAAAACAAACTTTAAAACAACAACAAAAAACAGGAACATGCAACTAATACATGTACATGTATGTACCTGGTCAAGATATTTTGGTATCATCTCCTCTACAAGTTCTGCTGCATGTGATGATACTTCTGATGGTTTGACTATTGCACAGTTCCCTGTTTCAAAAGTACATGTAGTTTAACACAGAAATCACCAACAGTGTACAAAATGTTATACTTATAGGCTATTTCATAAATTTTCTGGTCACAAGATTTTTTTAGGTAGACATTTGTCAAACCAATTTAACTTTTAGGTCTATCACAAATGACCTGCATAAATTGAAACAAACTGACAAAATATAATATTTAAGCCACTTTCATCACCATGAATCGCAAACCAGATCATAATATGTACACAGAATTGATAGATGAGATTTACTTAGAAATTCACGCTTGTAAGAGATAATTGTCTATAATTTTTTTGCAAATTTTGTTGTCATCATTCACAAGTAAAAAAATGATGCACATGTAATAAATGCCTGGGACGCCTATTTAATCCTAAGAGACTATGTGTGGTGGGGGTTTTTTGGTAGGAAAATCTGGAAAGTATTTTTTCATATGGCTTGATGTAAG